CACACACGCACAAGCCGCGCACACACGCCAACACACGCTATTATTGTCTCTTGCGCGCACCGCACATACGCGGCGCGCACATCACACATACGCGGCACGCAACACACACACGCGCGCAGCACACCAATACACTGCGCGCCGACACACACAGACAGACACAGGAAACACCAACCACACACACAGCACGACACGACGCCACAGACATCGAGTATCTTATCAAACACACAGCGGGACACACACATACAGCACCACACCGCCGGCGCGGGTGGGTTCGGTGTCGCGCGCGCGGGCACGATCATCTACACATCTATGAGGACGCTGTGTGTGCACACATTCACACACTAGCACACACATCTACAGCACAACCATCACGAGACGTCTGTTTGCTCGATTCACACACACACACACACACACACTACACACACACACACACACACACACACACACACACACACACACGCACGCCAGATACACCCGCGCGCCACACCACAGACGCGGGCACACGACCACACTGCGCGCTACACACACACAACACACACGCACACACACACAGACAGACACAGATCACAAACACACCACACAGCACACACACACGCCACAGACACAGACACAAACACACTACGACACACACATAGCGACACAACACACGCGCGCGGCGCCGCGCGCCCACACGACACACAGCACGCTCGCGCCCACAACACCACAGCGACACACACACACACACACACCACACACACACACGCACACAACACACCACACACAAACAACACACACACACAATATATATATATATATATATATATATATATATATACGTTATACACATATATACGTAATCAAATCCGATAAATCTAGTAAAAACAGAAAGTAATGAACAAAGTAATAGAAAGTTATCAACAACATTTCAAAAGTCTTAGAAATTCAGGGGCGAGCGCGGAGTAACGCGATCGCTCACCTACACAATTGCCACGTTCGAAAACGTCGTGTTCGAATCGTGGATGGTTGCTGAGAAACCGAGAAGCGATGAGGCCTGAGGGTCCAGCACCGATCACAGCTACTCGAATCTTCCCCTTATCTCTCATTGCGATGACTATATTAAGCAAAATATATAGCAAGAATCAGAAGTAAGGCGATGGGATATTTATGTTTCTTTTTTTTATTAAGCAAATCTTATTTTCTTGTCGGGATTTCCTCGTTGTTGTTATGTTAAATATCCATCTAGTTTCGATATAATGAAGTGTCGGTATGCGATAAGTCTGTAAACTATGAAAAAGCAAAAGAAAGGGTTTTCTATCAAGGGAAAATCCCGACTATTACTATAATGGGAAATCAATAATACTTTTCAACGCTATCACGTTTCAGCTGCTGCTGTGTTATTACTACTACTACTGCTGCTGCTACTACTACTACTACCACTACTACTACTACTACTACTACTACTACTACTACTACTACTACTACTACTACTCTCAGCCTCACCGGCCCTCAAACACATCCACGACCATCCGCCCATCTTCGCCATAAGCAGAGGCAAGAATCTGAAGGATGCGCTCATACGCGCAAGAATATCCACGCCGCACACTCGCCCTCTGCCTCCCCACGCCCATGGTCGCACCACCACGCCAGGTACACGCCCTTGCAGGCTTACACGCTGCTCCACGTGCTGCACGGTCAACTCACACACGGTCCTACCCTTCCCTCCCCCCTCAAGAAATCCATCACGCACTCCTTCACATGCAACTCTACGAACTCTCCATGGTCGTAAATGCCCCACGGCCAGATATTCAGGCGAGACGCAGCGTAGACTCAAAGATCGCATAGTTCGAACACCAAACCCGACCATTACAGACCATTAGGCGGGGGGTATGGGGGTCCTCCCCCAGAAAATTTTGAAAATGTAGATCGCAGGAGATGGTATTTGAGGCACTTTTGAGTACATGTACAGCCTTCATTCTGACTACGACAATTCTATTTTTAGTGGAACAATTCTTTTTCTTTTTTTTTAACTTTCGGATCAACAAGGGGGCCATGGCCCCCCTTTGGCTCCCCCTAACTACGCCAATTTTTTAACATTGATTTTTTTAACGAGGCCAGGATTAGGCCAGCTACGCGCTTTTAAGAGAAAAAGAAAATAGATAATTTTTTTTTACTGATTTTGATTGGGGGGTCCTAGGACCTCCAGGACCCCCCCCCCCTCCTGACTACGCGCTTGACTACTACCAGGAGTAAGATAATATAGGATATCATCTTGCTACTACTACTACTACTACTACTACTACTACTAATACTACTACTAATGCTACTGCAGCAATGCTACTGCAGCAATGCTACTGCTGCTGATCTCGCTGCTTTTTGTTGCTACTGTAGTCATTGCTACGTGACAGAATTCCCTCACCTAAACACAAACGCTCTCTGCCTCTTTATCCGAAGTTCCGATAGTTGTAAGCACGTTACACGTTCTTTCTTTAGAGTCTTGACAAATTAGCACGTATTCGATTTAGGTTAAAAACACGTACGGACCTCTACTCACGTGAATTTCGCTTTACTGAGAGATTTCCGCCAAACGTACGACCCGAACAGTTTTCTTCTGCGACTCTTTCCCGACACAGCGACAAATTGCGCCAATACTCGCGGCAAAGGCTTTACTTTCTATACGTACAGTAGAGCCTCTGCTGCTGCTGCTGCTGCTCACGCTAGAAGACGTATCAAAATCAATATGCTGTCTATTGACTATAGCACCCGGATTAAAACTACGGGTGGATCCGGCGCTATGGCTATATATATATATATATCAGGAGTGTATAATAGGGATCCCTATTATACACTCCTGATATATATATACCACGCAGTGATGCATACTCTCCACGCGTTGGTGTATATACATAAATAGGAACAAAAGCATATATCGACGAGGACATCAGTCTCACAATACTGTAATAATGCATGATTGATAATTACAAGACTAATTACTCTCACCGTGTTTGTGATGGCTTCCTTTCTTCTCTCAGCTTAGCTCAGTCGATACTGCCAGGGTCAGGTCAGCGGGAAGTGACAAATAAGTGCATCTGTCGTCTTGCACTATATATTACAATGAACAACAAACCGTCAACGTGTTACTAAATCCGTGGTATCTGTAAATGCTGTTTGCAAATCGATAACTCGTTAATTGCATTAATATATTTCCAAGTTTCCATTATAGTGTTCCAAAGCTTCGTATAAGTTACCATAAAATAATATATAATATTATATATATATAATATATATTAAATATTATCAAGAGCATATAAAGAAGGCATATAAGACTCTTCTTTATATGCTCTTGATATTATATATATATATATATACGTTATATAATATAAGTTAACGTATTCCATAAGTTTCCGCACATAAAATCGCTCATCGCTTATGAATGCGTTTTGTCTAAAATTCCGTGTGAAAAGTTTCTTGAAAGCTGCATGCGCTGGGAAAGCCGCAATTCTAGATAAGCGGGGAGTCTAAGACTACGAGGGGCGCAGCTAGTTCATACTAATGATACCAGGAGTTAATAATGACAAATTAGTTGACAGGTGAATATTGAGTTTATTGACGCACGATTAGTTAATATTAGCAAATATATGCGTACCGTAATCTCCCGTACCGGCTTGAATATAGACACCCCCTAGCTTTGGTCGCACCTACCACATATTCTTTTATACCGTGCCCTCTTATCTCTACGTCCATACAATTGCCGGAGGAAAATATTGTTGAAATATTAAAAACGTTGATAACCCTTTTTGATAAACCTCCTTTGATATATATAAACGTAGATATAGGCGCTGATATCTAAACGTCGTTTTAACTCTGTTCATTAACAACTCACCTGCATTTTCGATCATAGAATTTGCAATGCATAGAGTTGTCTTTGCATTAATCGATATATCGCGGGTATAATGATCAGCTCGCTACGCTATAGAATGTCAAAATATCTGCAATTTTTCCTTCACTGACAAGAAGGACAGAATTGTCCTTCTCATATCGCTCAATGCGTGACGGTACGGAATCCACAGCCTGAGCAAATTCACGAGGGATGATATACAACTTCGTGACTCAGTTGAGTAATGATGAGAGAGCTAGGGGTGCAGTTCCTAGTCAACATGCATAGAGTGGTGGGGTGTGGTTGTGGAACGAGGGTTTTTCTTAGATTCATTATAGGCTTTCGCATAATTTTTCTCCAAATTTCAGTGGAGACAGCTGCCTAGTTCTCCCTCTCTCCAGAGACTACCGTCGTAATTATGACTACACTGTGTGATCAAGACGTTTGTATTTACGCGGCTATAGTGTTAGTAAAAGCAGAGACGGGCAGAGTAACGGACAGAGAGCTAATTCAGCACTAGTTAGCGCTCTACCGTACTGCGATATATAGGTTAAACATGTCGAAACTATCAAATAATAATCCGTGTTAATTATTACTTATACATAACATTTATTCATTCATACAAAGTGCTAATATTAAACAGCATAAAGTTCTATTAGTTCTGCGCATAAATATCGCTATTTACTAGATACAACATGTAATCGAACATTTCGAAATTGTCCTCAATAGCCCTTCGATTGGTACTACCCACGAAAACAACGAAAACAGAACTTACCTCTTGAAATCCAGCACGTCAAGGCAGGGACACAACGACGAGTTCTTACGTGTTCTTTCGTCCAGCCTTTCCACGCATCTATCTATATTATGCATGGAGCTTCCCACGCATGTATGCTCGGGAACTCTTGCCCGTGATTTCTTTTCGAGCTTCTTGTCCGGTAGCTGCCTGCTTGCTATGCAACGCGAGCCTGCATCGTTACAATACGTACAGCGAACTGCATGCATGGGAACCGAGACAGCGCTTTGCCTGCGATCGCTTACGGACGAAAATCGTTCATCGCACAATGAATTCGCATTTGATTGCACACTATAGACTGCGAGGTAGAGCGCGAACCAAGGGGCTTGCTGGGCGTGAGTCACCGCTGAATGTAAGGTGAATTCTAAGGGAGGATTTTTTTTTAAAGAGGCTTAATATAGTTGAACGGCTACTGATTTAACACGTGGCGCCACAAAAGCACGCCCGCACGCCCGCACGCACGCACGCACGCACGCACGCACACACGCACGCACGCACGCTCCATGTTCCCATTGGTCGCTGGTTCTACATGACAAACGCATCTGCTGATGTGTTATTCTCAAGTCATTTGCAATCTTGTTGACAATCTATCGCACGCGCACGTGATCAGTTTAGAAAACAGAGGAAACGGCAGAGACAGAGGAAACAGAGGAGACTTTGGTAAACGAAGTAAGCAACTGAAATGCGATGTTCTGTATTTTTGGCTCAACCAGTATCAAGTGCATAGATCTCTCATTGCAACGATGGAAGGAGGGAAAGGGAAGACCTACCTCAGCTTTGGGTACAAAACGCTTTGTGTACAGGAGAAACCGACCGCGTCACTATCTGGTAAACATTAATAAAAAATCGCATTTGTTGAACTGGAAAAAATTTCCGGGATTTTGCCGGTTAAAATATGAAAATAATAATATATATATATATAGTATATATTGTAATATATATATGAAATATATTACAAAACGCCTAGTATTCGTTAAAACATTAAATCGCAACTGCTGAACTTGGACTGGAAGAGTGCTGGACTCCTATGTTTTCTTACTTAGTGTTTAATAATATTAGCAAACTTCCGCCTTCTATATGCTCTACGCGTGCTGGTTTGATGATAAAAATTTCTGGGAAAATAAATGAGCAATGAGCGTAGTTGTGAGTGATCATGTCGGCTTTGAGATTTGCATCACTGTATCAGAGCTGGGTAATATTAATTACTAAACTTTATTTAGCTAATAATATTACTAATTTACTGAGTTAATAGTAAAAATGTGATAATCGCGATATTATGTGTTTTTAGCTCTCCTATTGTATTACTGTTCGTATATAGTAATTGAATGTAATGAAATGTGTGTGTGTGTGTGTGTGTGTGTGTGTGTGTGTGTGTGTGTGTGTGTGTGTGTGTGTGTGTGTGTGTGTGTGTGTGTGTGTGTGTGTGTGTGTGTGTGTGTGTGTGTGTGTGTGTGTGTGTGTG